TAATAATAATAATAATAATAATAATAATAATAATAATAATAATAATAATAATAATAATAATAATAATAATAATAATAATAATAATAATAATAATAATAATAATAATAATAATAATAATAATAATAATAATAATAATAATAATAATAATAATAATAATAATAATAATAATAATAATAATAATAATAATAATAATAATAATAATAATAATAATAATAATAATAATAATAATAATAATAATAATAATAATAATAATAATAATAATAATAATATACCAATAATAAAGCAGTTTAATTTTAGTTCGATTTTTTTCAGCAAAGAAACTAATTTTTCCAAATTAAACCAAAAGAGCGATTTATTAGGCATTTAAAAAGTCGGAATTTAGCCGACAGATCAGTTGAATCAGTCTAAATTGGTTAATGGTTTGGACTGCTAACATCCTATATATTGGATTATTCTATGCTTATTTGCTGACTTATAATAATGAAAAGCGCTAAATAGGATAATGAAGCAGTCTCAACGATTTTAGCAATTTTTGGTTTATTAAAATTTAGAAGTTGAAAAGTTGAATTTAAAAAGCGCAAACTTTGAGTACATTTAATTAATTTTAAGCAGTTTACTTAATGAGTTCATCCACATGATTTTGCCTTCTTCGTGTTAAAGTAATATTTGCAGCGTTGAAAATACGATCCGTTAAACCACTTATTAACCTTAAAAAAAAAAGAAAAGCGTTTACATTGAATAGTTTAAATGAGTTTAATTAATTTCGAAGAAATTAGTAACTCTGCGAACAAAAAGAACAAAAAAATTTTAAAATGGAATTTTAAACTGACTTACATATTTAATTTATCAACATTTCTCTCCAAATATTGAATTTCATCATGATGTTCGGTAGCATGAAATATAATACCACCTAATAGAGCGTAGAATATTATACAAAATATTAAAATGTAATACCGTATTCCATATTTATTTTGAAATCTGTACCTGTCTAAGTGATGAATGAAAAAATACATAATTAATAGTGACAAAGTTGACAATACAAAAAAAAAACGAAAAGTAAAATAAGGATAGTTAATAAATTAAGCATAAATAATAAGAGAAAAAAGCATAAAACTTATTTAAAAATTTGAAATTTAATTATTGCCTTGTCAAATTAAAAAGTACCACTCTAAATTTGCAACACATATTTGCATTATCACATTCAAAACTGCTAATTGAAATTAACATGAAATTAATAGTTGGAATTCAAATCATTTGTTAATTTCCCGTTTGTAATATCAGAATTAAACTTTCGATGCAATGTAATTTTTCTGAAATAATTCGAAAATTTTGAAATTGTTAATTTTTAATTGAAATTATTTTGGACAATTTTTTTTAGGCCAACTTTACAACAGTATCATTTTTTTTCAAAATACATAATTTTTATTTTCTTTTATCATTCAAAATAAAAAAGAATAAAAAAATTGCGAAAGCAAGACCTGGCTATGTGTATTAGAAATTGAGTTCGTAGAATTTGATCTTTTGCATTTGTTTTCATTGTTGCAAATTCCTTTCTGACAATATTTTTATCAAAATTTCGTTTTAAAATCTGGAAATTCGAACATTACTTTTTTTTTAGTGGGATATTTTTAGTCTTCGAATTAAATAAATGGATGGAATTTTCTTTTTTTTGAAAATATTTAAACATTAAGACATTACAGAAAAGATAAACGAAAAGGTCAAATTATGCAATTTTTAAATGATCATAATTTCAGAATAAATTTGACAAATTTGAATTGATTCAAATTTAACAACGTTTTAAAGAAAGTTTTTGAATAATTTAAGCTAGAAGATTAAAAAAGTAAAAAATTTACCAAAACACTTTTCATTCGACCAGTCATCATCATTGGTTGAAATGATTGCTGAGATGAAGGAAGCATTTTCAACTTTCCAAATTATTTCATTCAATTATTGATATTTCATGTGAAAGTAAAGTTTCTGAAACTTAACCTAAATTTAATTAATTCAAACTAATTATATGAAATTTCCAGAAGTGACCTTCTTTTTTTTGTATAGCAAATGATTAATTTGGTGTCTTAATAATGATAATTCCGAAATAATTACAACATAATTATGCAAATGTGACTAGACTTGTTTGAAAAGAAAATAAATTCTTTGGGTTTCATTTTTTTAATTAAAGATGAAAATTATAGAAAGAAAAAAAAATTTTTCTGAACAAATTACAAGTGAATATGTTGTAGAAAATGATTTTGCAACAAACTCATTAATAGATAATAATTAGACTGTGTTTGCTCACAAGGAAATATTTCGACTGATAAAATTTTGTTTTCTCTTTTTTTTTTGCTCAGGTAAAAATATTATCACTTGCTGTTTCGCTGATAAATGAATATCAAATCATTCTACCTACGAAATTTATTGCTGAAAACTGCTATATTGCTGATGTAATAATCATCATTTTTAATGTTAGCTTGTAAGATACAGCATGATAGTAATTTTATCTAATACCATATAATCGAATTAAAGATTAATAAATTACAGAAATTATCACAAGCATTATTTCAAGATAACAATAATCATAATTACACCGATAACTACCAATTAATCATTTATCAGTTCCAGAAACGCACCAATTATTATTTTGCTAATGATTTATGATCCAGGATTGAAAATGCAAATTTTAGTTAAATCGAAAATTTTACAAATTTTCAATTTTCCATAAACATTACAGACAATCGCAAAATGTTTTACTTACCAATAATACTTAAAAATTAGCTTCTAATTTTGGATATGATGAAATATGATTATATTTTAATTGTTTATAATTAATTTCTCATGATAGGTAAATAATCATTTCATGCTGTTAAAGAATTCAATTAAACATCAATGATATTCACTTGAACAATTTTTTTGCTTTAGCTAATCATAAATTTTATTCATCAAATCTTGTTTTAAAAAGATGGGCATAATAATGTTTTCCAAATTGACCAATAGCGTCATATTGAATACAAGAATTGAGTATAAGGTTCAATTCTTGTTTCAGTAACGCATTTCTGATATTTTATAGCTTACTATAATTTGCTATTTAGGATGTTCTGTTTCAATCATTTATTTCATTGTTTCTTCAACCTTAAATATTGGAAAAAAAAATGAATGGTATTGTTTGCAATTTCGAAATATTTACGGTTATGTTAGAAGAACAAACAGACAGACAGACAAACACACATTTGTATGGATTTAAATGGAATTTGTAATTAATATTCCTATGAATATGATACTTGTACCGAAATTAATTTAATATCGAATTTTTAATCGAATGATGTAAACCATAATATATTATTTTATTCATTACAAAATGAAAATAACAACCTTTTGCGCAGCAAACAATAATAGCGAGACATATGAAAGAAGCGCATCGAATGGTTACAAAAATGATAATTTGAATGTATTGGTGCATATTGGAATTTTAGTTGGAATTTAAAAAATCAATTAAATTTGACATTTCGATAAATTTTTTTTTCACTTGACTGAAATGTATGTTTGACTCACAATATAAAACAAAGAGTAAATAACAGCAAAGAAAACTTTTTTATTTTTAAAAGTTATGTTCGTTTCAATGAAAATAACAAATGTATTGATGATAAACAACAATTTCATTTCATTAAAATTCTTTGTTAATTAATCAAATTTATTTATGAAATATTTCAATTGAATTTTATTCGTTATTTTCAACAATTTATTCATTTTTTCTTCATCATTCTTTCATTCCTCCTTCTTTTTTCGATCTTTAAAAGTAAAATGCAAATACATTTATGATGTATTCGGTTGGTGAGAGTAATAATTTGAAATTTTATGTACACGTATGTGTCTGTGTGTATGTGTGTATGTGTATTTGTGTATGTATGTATGTATGTGTTGTATGTATATATGTGTATATGTTCATGTATTTAATTTGGCACTGAAACTGTAATAAAATGAGACAATAATGGTATGTGAATTATAGCAAAAATAAGAAATATTTATTAAGTATTTCACTATATATTATAATTATGACAAGAAATATTAATCAGAAATGATAAGAATACAATTAGAAATTGCCAGATCAAACGATATGATAACAATACCACACTTTATTTAAATATATTATAAAAACTTTGTTTGGAAACAATGAAAAAAGAATTATCCAGGGATAAGTACAGTAAACGCAATGAACACAGTGATAAATACAGTAAACACAACGATAAATACAGTAAACAAAACGATAAAATCAACAAGAAAGAAATTCCATAAATATTTGTTAAAATCACTACGATATTTTAAAAAGGATTTCATAGAAAATCTTGGTAATTAAAGTTTGTCAAATATTGTAAAATTAATTTTTTGAAATAAATTATTTTGTAAAGCCAATAATTAATTAAATATTATAACATATGGTAGTTAGGAATCTGTTCACTTTTCACCGAAATATTCCCATATAATACACTTTTAAATTTTTGCTAAAAGAAATCATTAAAGGCACTTATATCATTAAAAGGATCGCCAATGATTCTCCCCAACATACCTTAAAATTATGTAATTATACTAAAACTAAAAAAAAGATTACAAATATTGAGAATTTATTTTTTGGATAAATTTGATCAATTAGTAAACAATTTCTGGCATATTTTACATACGAAATGTTTTCAAAAAGCATTTGCTTAATTTGTTAATTTGTATAAAATAAGCATTTCTTATTGTTTGTTATGAAATGTATACAGAAAATGATCTTTGTTTTTTAAGGAAAGGAATTTATTGGACCCAAACTTTATTTATTGAGACTTGAAGTTTATTTATTGAACTGGATCGAAAAGTAATAGTATTTTGAAAATTTATGCCGGAAAATAAAAGACAGAGAAACGCAGAAATTTGTTAAATGACGTGACAATTAACTAAAATCAAAGCTCTACACAATTGTATGGGACAGAAACATGATAGATTTATATCATAGACAATTTCAGGTAATAAAAATTTTAGTCTAAAATTGCAAATTTAAAAACAATACAAGTAAATAATAAAGGAAATAAAATATTAGCAATCAGTTGTTTTGTTTCTACTAAATTTTCAATGCATTATTTGCATTGAATTGGTTCCAGATGATAGTATATACCTGTAGCTATCATTCGTTATCAAAAGAGTACAATACATTTGTTGATAATGATAAAGATTGTATTTTATTATATTTGCAATTTAATTTGATAATTAATAACAGCAAATTATCATCAAATGATATTGAATATGATTGAAACAAAGGGAAAACTAAATGATATTAGCATTCTTGGCTTCTTTTTATTTACAAAAAAATTGATTCGTTGCATAATTTCAATAAAATTTAGCATACATTAGCTGGGAAATATTTCTAGCTCAAACAATATGTCACAATAATAGGTATCGTTTTTGTCACAATCAGAAATAAGACAAGGAACGGAACCAATATTTAAAATCATCGTAATTAATTAACATTAGTTTCAATTAACATTGATTAACATTTGGAATTACATCAAAATTGAATAAGTGAAATTTTTTACTATCAAAAAATTATACATAGAAGAATAAAAATCGGAAAAAAATTTCGAAAATACTTCTTCATTTCTTAAGAATTAAAAGTTTTTCAAAATTCAAAAAATAAACTTTTCCAAATGCATTTATTGTAAAATGGATTGCACTGACAATAAATCATGAATTCCTCGGTAAAAATCTCTGAAATTATCGCTAAATTAAATTCAAACGATCGTCATGTAAATGTAAACAAATAAACAAATGATATGGAAAAATTAATAAATATAAATGTGTTTCAATCAATATTCTATTCTTCAAAATAATATCCTCATAAAAAGGCAATGTAGAAATACCGAATCTCAAAAAGCCTTCCAATGTTTTTAACGCTTGAACATAAATTATTACAGTGATTCATGTAATACAAACATAGAAAATTAGAGTGATTCGCGTATTATAAACTTGGATCACCAATGTAATTCACGTAATACAATACGACATTTTCACAGATTTTACAATCTTTAACCTTGTTATGTTTCTCCTTTTTTATACAATAGCATTTCCATATTTTTTTTATACCAAATATTTATTATCCTATCCTATCACTTTCACAAAAAATATATATATATATACTTAGTCCAATAGGATAGATCATATAGTTGTAAATGTAAAGATAATATAATAAAGATATTATAGATGTAAAGGTAATATTATAAAGATATAAAGATAATAAAGATATTATAAAGATAGTTATAAAGATAATATTATAAACATAGTTATAGGTATAAAGATAATATCATATAGTTATAAATACGAGTAACTTATCGGATAACACTAAATTGAAGTATTGTTACTTTCTCTCATAAATTTTATGCTAATTTGCCTAGTTTTAAGCAGGAAAAAAAAATTGAGAAAAAATATACAAACCAATTAATAGGATGTTACCTTCTCATTTCTTTAATTCAATATACATTTGTATTAATAAAGATTCCAATTTAAATATTTTCTTTTCTATATAATCAGAATAAACATTAGTATTATGACAATGTTAGTAGAATTGTTGTAACAAATTTCAGGCTAATTATTTTTGACCAACAATTAATATTGTAACTTTACTTTAGTATTAAGTTTCATTTTATAAACCCAAATTAACACGAATATTTGGCAAATGAATCCGATAACTGTTAAACTTAATGTTTGCATATCTTCCCTACCGGTAAATTCTATAATCAGTACTTGCATAATCATCGTGATAACAGTTCTACATAAATAAAGATTAAATCCCACAAGATAACCAAGGAATGTTTGAAGATGATATATCAGAACAATAATTCACGTGTTTCAGCCTGGAAATGTGACCATCTCTCACAATCGTTTTACTAATATTTCA